AGTTAACAAGGTCAGTATGGGTGATGCACTTTCTGTATAAGAATTAGTATAGATTTTTTAAACCTGTTGAAATCACCATAAGGAGGGACAAAAGTAGAAAGGAGAAAAGTAGAGGGGATCAACCAATTCAGGTTGTAATACATATATACATGGAAATGTTACAAGGAAACTCCCTGTAAATCTATCTTAAACAAACAAAAATGCCTATTTTCAGAGATGGAGAACAGAAAGGTTAAACAGGTCTTACCTGGGGGTGATACCAACAAGACCGGGAGGATATAAGGAAAGGGTGAAGGAGTTGAATGTAGTGGAAATATTATGTACTCATGTATGAAAGTGGAAAAATGAGACCTGTTGAAACTGTTTCAGGAATGGGTGGAGGAGAGATAAAGGAGAATGATGGAGGGAGGGAATTCAACTATGATATGTTGTAAGAACTTAAAGCATTCATGTCTTGTCCTTTCCATTTCACCAGTTGTGCTCTGAACACATTATTCCAAAGCAAATGATTTTCTGCCTCCACAGTCAGTCCATCTTGGGTCAGTTTCATTTGCTTGGCACATTTGACAGGGCATTTGTTAATGTGAGCCAATGCCTGGGTCAAAAGTTAAAAAAAGAATAATTAAGATGAACATGGTTTAAGAGAACTGGTGCCCATCAGTTCTGAAAATGGACTGTCACAAGTGGGCTAAGATGGTTGAGTAGAGGTAAAATGAAAAATCAGTAAATATGATACATCAGTTAGTAAGAAATGAGTGTTTAACATGTTACCTATGTGTTTTCAGTCTCGGGAATGGTAAAAATTGTTCTTGGACCCTGAGTGGAAGGAGAATCTTTAACCACTGGAATCAGAAGACCCACAATCTCTCTGATTTCCTGCACTAGCTGTTTCAAAATACTCCTAGGATCTGAGTGATGGAGCCAAACTAACCACCAAGGAGAGAAACCAAATTTTATAGCATTCTGTCTCCAGAAAACTTCTCTTCAATGTTTTCTTAAAAATAAAAAGAAAGATATTATCCTCTTTAAAGAAGGTAGATGTCACAATGCAGCAGTAGTTCCTTATAGCTACTATTAAGTATGATTGTACTGCACATTTTTCAGCTTTTCTCTTCAGATAGATTGCTTCAGTCAACCTGCTTTAGAAAATGTTAGAATAAAATCATTTGGGAGCAAATTTTGTTTATCAGGGTGATGGTGTAGCTTTGTTTGGTATTTTCTCAATGCCGTTTCTGTATGTCACCTATTTCATAATAACTGAAACATGCAAAAATTCTATAAAATAAAACCCAGTTACAAATAATTTTTCCTCCTTGTGTCAAAACTCACCCACATATATTCACTTTTCTCAAAACAAGGAAGCACATGCAATTATGGTATAAATTTGGCATCAATTGCTGAAATTTTCTTCATGGTGTGCCCCGTAACTGTCATCCTGTGGTTGAGAAATGGTTTAATGGCCAATATAGATATGAAATATAGATGTTGAATCAACTTAACATTAAAATTACCAGGTAATTATTGGATTCATGTATACACTGGGTAATGTTCTACTCAAGGTAAGCAAATGTATATCCATTAGTAAATCAAGCAAGCTGGTGCCAAAAAAAATTCCACCTCTACCTATCCTATATGAGTGTGAAAGAGAGGTTAGCCAGCTTTCTGTCACTATAACAAACACCTGAGATAATCAGTTTATAAAAGAAGAGCTCATTTTGACTCACCACTTTAGAGGTGCCAGTCCATGGTAAGTTGGTCCTGTTGCTTTGGGCCTTTGGCCAGGCAGTACATCATGGTGGGATCACATGGCAGGGAAAAACCACTTGAATTCATAAAATATTTGTTATCTGTCCTCCATGTGTTTCTGGTAGTATCTCTTCATTCTTCAGATGCTCACTTTCATCACTTTACCAAGGTCTTCTTGACCTGAACCTGGGTCAAGGAGAACTCTTTTCATTTGTAACATTAATTACACCCAAATTCTTACTCAATATGTCTTCCTCATTACATTTTAAGTTCCATTTGAGCAAAGCTGAGTTTGTTGCTGCTATAATATCACAAACCCTATGAAGGCAAAAAAAATTTCAATATGGGTAATTTAGTGGGTGTGCTTGGGCTTCCTTCTTACATTCAATGAAAGGTCATATAATTAAAGAACTCCCTCCCTTTTCATTTCCTTTTCGCTTATCAGTTGATTTTATCTTTGTCTTCTGTTTCTGGGGAAACTATTTTTTTTATTGTTTTATTATTCACATGTGCATACAAGGCTTGGGTCATTTCTCCCCCCAGCCCCCATCCCCTCCCTTACCACCCACTCTGCCCATTCCCTCTTCCCCCCCACACCCTGGGGAAACTATTGAATTATTTTTGCACCTGAATCCAATGCAAAAAATTGAGCCAATCCTAGCTGGAGTAGCCTTTAGTTTATTGCTCTTAGGTCTGTCTGGTTCTGCCGAGTCTTGAACTCAACATTGGCAACTTCTGCTTTATTGATGCTCCATAAGCCTTCTTCTGCCAACATCCATGACCCAGGCTCAGGAGAGAGCTCCCAGTTCACAGCACACTGTGACCTGTCTGGCCAGCTCTTTCAGGGCCTCGTGCTTGTTAGGCAGGTGTTCTACCACTTGAGTCACTCTGTCAGTCCTTAATACACTGTTCTGTCTGGTACCACTTTCTCCACTTGTACCAATGACAGATCAGGACCGGAGCACACTGGCCTGGAGGAATGATTTATGTGATCAGTATTGCCCAATGTGTCACAGAAGAGAGAGGAGGAGTTTCCCTCTCATCTCAGTGTAAGTACTTTCCCCTGAAATTATTTCACCTCATCTTCTGTATAAACGATTTATGTAACTGGCCATGCGTTTTTTATTTTTTAATGTTTCTCTTGAATTATGCTCCAGTTTTTATCTTGCTTATAATTTTTACAATATCACTATCTTTCAAAAATTGCTTAGGGGTCAGCCAACTTTCCTCATTCTCCTGATAATGAAAAATCATTTCCCTCATTTCTGAACAAGAGTCAAATGATATAGAGCTCTAAAAAATTATTGCTCTAAACAAAGACAATTCTAAACAAAGATAGAGCCTGGATACTTTCAGACCACCATGAAAACTAGACGTGAGACACTCCCTTCCATACGTCAATGATAAAGTCTGGATTTCCACTTGAATCCACTAGGCTTGTCTCCAGGTCTTCACATGGGTCCTTCTGAACGATTCTCTCTGTCTCTCTCTCTCTCTCTCTCTCTCTCTCTCTCTCTCTCTCTCTTTCTCCCTCTCTCTCTCCCCCCCATACTCTTGTCAAAATAACTCTGCACTGCACACTTTTTCCTAAAATCTGAGCAGATCAATCCAGTAACATACAAGCTTTACTTATCATCATTCATCTCAAAGGATAAAGGTCAAAAGATTTCAAGTAGACCTCATTGCCAAGCTCCTTATGTTTTGGGGTACAAATAGGCATCCGGAGGCAAATCATATCCTATAATTGATAACAGGAAAAAGATCTGTTTATTCTTGTTGTCAATAACAGGCCCTGGTCTAAAGATCAGGAGTTTAGATTTATTTCTTCTGTGGTCATTATGGTGCCATGAGTGCAGGTGTGCCTTCTCTGGATATATTCCCACTCCCTTGTCTCAGTCATTCCAAGACATTTACACCCAAAGTTATCCTCCCTAAATAGGATTGTTTTATGCTAGCCAACATATTACCTCAAAACCTTCCCTCTCCTCCTTTTCTGTAACAAGGCAATTTTTTCAATAATTCTCTCTTAGAGAAACAAAAATTACTCAACATCTAATTCCCAAGAGAAACTAATAATGAGCTGGGTGCCAGCCATCTCCACAGCATCAGTGTGTCACTCTCCTGTACAACTAATTAGCTTTCTTCCCATGATATAAAAAACTTATAAATAGCTTTGTCTTTAGGGGTATTATTTACAGAAATGAAGACTAAACTATTGGAATTTCTCTTTGTAGAAAACTGCACCTCTTCTGACTCAACAGACAGGTAAGAGCAAAGCTTTTAAATTTCAAAACCTCTTTTGTTTCACCTTTTTATCCCTCTTAGGTTTCCATCCTTCTGCAAAATGTTTGTGTCAGAAATATCTTTAGCAAAATATTTTTGTCTTTTGTTCCTTACTACCTCTCATTTTTGAAATTTCATTTAATTATGCTGTTTTCCTGAATGAGTTCTATATACACACACCATTGATATTTTTCGGTTTGTTTCCCTGGTGTGAAGAGTTTTCAAGATTTGTGTTTCTGCCTATGATAGTCTCCAAATTGTTATAAACTTCATTTTCACCTGTGCAAAGCAGATATCTGGTCTTGGCTGTTCCCAACCTATTTAAAGACCAGATTCTTTTTTAAACCAGAGTAATAGAATCTCAAGCCTTGATCTCCAATATTCTGAAGTGGTTCTGCTATGGTTCTCTGTTTTCTCAACATTTGAAGTCTCCAGCCCATGCCTAAGATGAAGGGCTAAGCTCAGACATATTCTGAGGTGGTGAAGGAGAAAGTAGTGGGTATAAATCTGAGATGGAAGTTTTGAGGACTGACCAGATTGTTTGAAGAAGTAAGAGAAGGTATTGGGAGCCACATGGCTCATAGAAAGAGAGGAAATATCCCTTTAAAAAGGAAAGGCTAACTTTATGTTAGACAAAGTGTAAACTCACTGAATAAGAGGGTCCTTTCAATAGGATCAAATGAGCCTATCAAATGTAAATAATTCTAGCAATTCTATAATTGTTTTTATTACACAGGTGACGAGCACTCTTGAGGAAGACCAATGGCTTAGAATTGCAAACATCTGACATCTGATTCTGGTTTTGTGATTTTATTTTCATGAACACACTGGCTACTCACTGAACTACACTGGGTTGTTTGCCTACAGAATCAAGTGACTGGATAAGTTACTCTCAAAATCCTTTTCCTCGTGTATTCAAAACTGTAATTCTGACAATACATTTGCTCGAAGATGTGTCTCCCAGGTCCGTGATGACTGACAAATTTTACATCACCACTAGGAGAGAAGACAAATCTTATGTGGTCTTGCCTCCTGAAGAATTCTTGGTAGTTTCACCAAGTCATCAATATTTCCTAAGAATACAAAGAAGCCAAACACATGGTCTCTTTTCTAAACAAGTTCTCTTGGGCTTTCAGGATTTCCTCAATAATAATATGTAATAATTCCAGGTGCTTGCAAAAATGTTAAGCCTTCTCCACTTATTTAAATACTTTCAAAACTAGGTTATCACCAGAAAGTACAAGCTTATGAAGAATTATTAAATGCAATTTCCCTGTAATTTATCAGGAATAGAATTTTGTTTTTTATATGATTAATTTTGAACCAAGTTTTAGAGATACATTATCTGATATTTCTTGAGCTTTACCTATAGTTCAGACTGTTTTAGCTCAGTAAAGCCATTGCACAGAGCATAAAGGTTCCTTGCACTCTTCAACATTATTTCATATTTATGAAAAGCTATAAATATTAGAACTAGTCTAAGTAAAATAATGCCTGGAGGATAAGATCTTATTTGATCAACTACTTCCTAATTTTTTAGATGACCCACCTGTCAGCTGAAGCACCCTCCAATGTTTTTCAGACACCCACTCCATTCCCCTACCCTTCATTGTCACGTCCATTCACTCATATGCTTAAACTTTCATCATTTCTTCACATTGGTGATTTTTTCCTATATCCCATCTGTGGCTTTCCATCCTTCAGTGAAAATGTTCATAAGCAATGCATGAAAACCCATTATTCACAATGCATCGATGTGTGCTGTCATAAGCCATGAGAGGTGACCTAATCAATCCACCAATCTTTTGATTGCCACCTATCCTCCTTACTTCTCTTCTGGGTTCTTTCTTATTCCTTCCCCTGTCACTCCTTTTATTATCCAACTGTCTTTCCAATCCCACCTTAGTTCTTCCTCCTTAGCTCTTCTTGTCTACCTGTCCTAGAAACATGCTACTGACTCTGATGCTACCACATTTATTTCATAAATAGTTCCATATTTTGGTTTGAGATTCTTCATATTAGAATGATTAAAGACCATTAATAGAGAAAATTACATGTTTAAATAGAATTTTTGAATCTTTAAACTAATAGGTTCATGCAACTTTGAATTACTCTTCTTAAAATTTAATTATCACCTACACTCTAAGACAAACACCATTTCAGTGGGTGAACCCAATAGTGTATGAATTTCTGTATCTGAGAAAGTAATTTGAAACTTTAGTTGTTATTATAAGATGAAATGCAACTTGGAAGATGAGACTACTAGAGTGTTCAATATCATATATGCTGTATATTTATTTAACAGGACACAACATTCCACCATAGCAGTCGACATGATTTGTCATCTTGTTTCTCAAATTACAGAATTGAGTTAGCAAGTTACCAAACACATTTTGCTTATCAGAGTAGAGGCATGAAGGGTGATAGTATCCACTTAATCCAGCAAACTGCACAGCCTAGATAATAGCATTTTATTAGGACTCAACCTTGCATAAGTGGAGGCCATGAGAAGACCAGGATGACTGAAGTATCAGACATAATCAGGGATGTAGTATGCAGTAAAAATGTGAGTTTATATTTTTGAATTAGAAAGTCACTACATGAGTGAATGGAAGGATTAAAAAGTGAGACTTTGGATTTAAATATAATAATTCTGACCTCTTTTTCATTGTATTCTCTAAGGTAACTGCAGAGCTACTCTACTGGAATGAATCAACACATGAAACAAATCATTCTGTGGTGACCGAGTTCATTTTTCTTGGACTCTCCAATTCTCAGGAACTTCAGATTTTCCTGTTTCTGTTCTTTTTGGTGTTCTATGTAGGAATTGTGTTTGGAAACCTTCTTATTGTCATAACTGTTGCTTCTGACTCCTACCTTCACTCCCCCATGTACTTTCTGTTGGCCAGCCTCTCACTCATTGATCTGTCTTTGTCCTCAGTCACAGCTCCCAAGATGATTACTGACTTTTTCAGCAAGCACAAAGTCATCTCTTTCAAGGGCTGTCTGGCACAGATATTTCTCCTTCACTTCTTTGGTGGGAGTGAGATGGTGATCCTAACAGCCATGGCCTTTGACAGATATGTAGCAATTTGCAAGCCCCTGCACTACACTACAATTATGTGTGGGGATGTGTGTGTAGGCACTGTGGCTGCTGCATGGGGAATTGGCTTCCTCCACTCAGTGAGGCAGTTGGCGTTTGCACTGAACTTATCCTTCTGTGGTCCCAATGAAATTGATAGCTTTTATTGTGACCTTCCTCGGGTAATCAAACTAGCCTGCACAGACACCTACAGGTCAGATATCATGGTCATCGCTAACAGTGGTATGCTTACCATGTGTACTTTTGTTCTTCCAATCATCTCCTACACTGTCATCCTAACGACCATCCAGCATCATCCTTCAGATAGGTCATCCAAAGCTCTGTCCACTTTAACAGCTCACATCATAGTAGTTCTTTTGTTTTTTGGACCATGTATCTTCATTTATGCCTGGCCTTTTCCCATTAAGCCTTTGGATAAATTCCTTGCTGTGTTTTATTCTGTGGTCACTCCTCTCTTGAACCCCATTATATACACACTGAGGAACAAAGACATGAAGACAGCAATGATACGACTGAGAGATCGAAATGTGTTTTCCAGGGTAAAGTCAGATCTGTGAATGTAAGCTCCATGTTTGACAACAACATAACGTTGGTAAAGTGTCCAGCAAAGCTTATGAAATTGTACCATCCCTGTCCACCTCACTTAGGAGTTGTCAAAGAAGTGTCACAAACACCGTCTCAATCCTTCAGCATCAGTTGTTTCATATTTTTGATACAGCTCCAAATTTAAAGTCATGCATTATCCCACTAGTTGTTGAACATGAAAGGCATGAATAAGCTAGTATTTGTACACAACTGAGACTTTCTGGTTGGTTTAGGATTTAATAGAAGAAGGGTTAGAAACTGGCCTGGCTTATAAATTTCTATTTTTATTTGGCTTGTTTTCCTAAAAGTATCAATAAAGTAACGGTAACCTGCCTAGCAAAAACATGCTTAATGTCAGGATTTATAAGTCAACTATTAAGAGATTTAAAAAGGAAGCTGCTCCCTTATAACAGGTTATAATCCAGTTCCTACCATAGTCTATGAGTGCATTCCTGAGGGCAATAGGAAAACTGAGGTGGCCAAGGTGAAATCTGTCTTCCAGGCACTTGACATTCTCTGCTACATGACAGCTGCTCATAAGAAATAGTAAAAGAATTATGGAGTTCCAGTCTCTCTACACCTTAGCCCAAAGTATATCACTTATCATTTTCCATGTCCAGCTTTTAAAAATTAAAAAAGCTGGGCTCAACACTACTTTCTGCTACCAATCATGACATTGGGTTCATTACTTACCTTTGGTAAGCTTTGGTTTCCACACTTTTTAGAGGGAGATAGTATTTATTGCAGTTGGTTACTATGAGGGGTGATGAGACCATGTATTTACATCAGACAATTTGTGTCAGATTCAGCACTCAATAATTATCAGACACTATTATAATTACTATGTAAACCCTACAGATCAACAAAGCCAAAAATTCTCGATCTTTTCTTTCTAACAGCTTGAGGGGTATGACATAGCCCAGTCTTAGCTGACACTCCTTTGGAATGTGGTAGTTGTAAGTTGAAGTGTGTACATTTATGTGCAAGTGTGTATATGCTCACTAACACTGCTATCCAACACAACATTCTAAAAAGTCCAGATAGAATTAGATGGAAATATAAATAGAAAAATCTTGACAAGTGATTCTAATCACTCTGAAAATTAGCTACTCTAAGAAAATAGCTTGCTGAAGTGTGATGTGAATTAATAGATAAGAAGAGTCAGATGATAGCAGGGTAAATTTTATGTCTCTTTCAAGAAAAACAGAATATAAAATTAATAATGATATTAAAAATATACAAGGAAATTAGTATATGGTGATGACAATATCGCAAATCAGTGAGAAAAGAAATGACCTATTAGTGCGGTGGGGGAATACCTGGATGTCAATATTGGGAAGGATGTGTTGGATCTTTTTATCACATTACATACCAGGATAATTTCTAAATGAACTCAAGACTTGAATCTTCTTTAAAACTATATTACTATTAAAAGAAAACATGATTTGATGTCTTTATGATCTATGAATGTGATAAAAATTGACATTGACTAAATTTAATTTTAATGTATGGTTAAAAAGTATCTCCAAGAGTAAGAAAATAAATGAAAAGAAATTATTTACAACTCACATGAAAAAGAATAGTAGTTTTGATATATAAAGAATTTCCCCCAAACTCAACAAACTAATAGAAAAATGGGTGAAAGATATAAACTTATAGTTTATAAATGAGAAGATGACAATCTTTAAATACATGAAAAGTGTTCAAGCTCTCTTATTTTAAGATATATGCAAAGTAAAACAAAATTTATGTAAGTTCTGTTCTAAGATATCAAATACCTAAGCCAGGCACCAATGGTTCATGGCTGTAATCTTAGCTACTTAGGCAGCTGATATTGGAAAGATAATGGTTCAAGGGCAGCAGGGGCAAATAGTTCACAAGACCCTATCTCAACCAATACTTGGGCACAGTAGTCCATGCCTGTCATCCAAACTAGTGGTAAGCTGAGATCAGGAGTATCACAGTTGCAGGCCAGCCTAGAAAAAATGTTTTTGAGATCTCAAATCAATGGGAAAAACTTGGTATGGTGGTGTGATCCCAACTGTGGTAGGAAGTAAAATAGGAGGATTGCTGTCCAGGCCAGTTTGGGGAAAAAAAATGAGATTCTTTTTCCAAAATAACCAGAGCAAAAAGTGATGGAGGCATGACTCAAGTGATAGAGCACCTTCCTAACATGTGCAAAACAGAGATCAAACCCAGCACCAGCAAAATAAAGATATCAAATATCTGAAATATCTGACTTCAGTATTTGAAAATACATGTTAATGAGGTTGTGAAGAAAGAGGCACTCTTATGCAACATTGCTGAGAATGAAAACGTGATAACTTTTTAGCAAGAGCTAGAAAGATTAACACATTACTAAATGTCATGTAGAATCTCATTTCTGTCATAAAGATGTACTAGCGAAAATGCAAAATAAACAAAAGGCTTAAGTCATTCAAACATTATTTCCAACAGCAAAATCAGAAATACCTAAATAATGATCAGTAAAGAACTCCTGGAATAAATTACACACAATGCAGTGTTTAAGAACTGAAAGATGAATGAGAATTATCTCCAAACACCACTCTGGAATAATCTATGAGCTTTTTTCCTAAGTGAAAGCAATAGACTGACAAAGAGTGTCTCCAATTGCTAATTTGATGTTAAAACAAACATATATCAGATTTATATGTGTGTATAATTGTATAGACAGTTAAGTAAGCATCTTAAATGACAATTAAAATGATGAAGACTCTTCTGGCAAGAAGAAAGGCAGAGGGATAACAATTAGGCTTTTCTGAATATATCTAACTTGTAGTTTTGACTTTGGGATCATATAACTATTTTACATAATGAAAATTAAATTTAATCAATAGGGATGAATTTAGTTTCTTAAAAACTCAAGTTTAAACCAAAGCAAGTGATAAAATGCTATTTTAATTAGGTAATATAACATCAGAAAAAAGAACCATTTTATTGGACATGGTCAAAATAATATGGAATATACCCTGAGGACAGAAAACATGCAAAGAGCTCTGCTTTCACATTCTTTGGAACTCAACAGCTCCAAACAACTCAGAGACATCAGTTCTTCTCTGGGCCTCCAGCCTCCTGGATTTATACTTGAAAACTCAATGGCTTGAGTGAATATTTAAAGTACACACATGCACACAAGCATACAGTGCACATGCATACTCACACACATCTTCCTTTCTGAATCTCTGGAGAAGGCTGACTGATGTATTTACTCTATTTTGTCTTCTTTCTATTTCAGCAATTTCTGTTCTTATACATGAGGGTTATTTCCTTCTGTTTATTTGAATTTAATTTCCTTCTCTCTTTCCTAGCTTCTTTTTGAAATAAAATTGACAAAATTCAGGTATACATAAAGTTATGACAGTATTTTCTTTACTCAGTATTATTTAACATATATAATTATATGAGGGAGTTTCACTGTGGTATGTTCATATGTGCATAGAAGGTGCATTGACCATATTCACTTCTCCTATTACTCTTTCCTATCACATCTCCTCCCCACTTTGTTTTCATTATTTCAATGGGTTTTGTTATTCTATTTTCATACAGGCATGTAATGTACTCCAATCACGCACAGCTTCTTTCACCCTTTCCTTTTGTCTACTCCCCTCCCCTACTCTGTCACCAAATGGTCCCCCTTTTATACTCATGACTTTTCTTTTTTCTATTTTAGGTCTGGATTCTGAGTATGAGACAACATTCAATATTTGTCTTTCTCAGTCTGTTTTGCTTTCCTTAGCATTATGATCTCCAGTTCCAACCATTTTGCTGAAAACAAAGTAATTTCACACTTTCTATGGCTGAGTAATACTCCATTGTGTATATATACCACTTTTTCTTTATTCTTTCATTACCTGATAGGCATAGCTTAGTTACATTGAATAGTGCTGTTACAAATAATGCTATGTAGGTATCTCTTGTATGCTCATTTGTTCCTTTGGATATATGCCCAGGAGTTGTCGAGCAGGGTGATAAGGTACTTTGCTGTTAGATTTGAGGAACCTCCATACGGTTTTTCATAATGCTTGCACTACTTCACGTTCCCAGCTGTGTTTGCTTTTGTTACTGATGCTTTTAGTGTCTATGTTAGTCACATTCCTGTTACTCTAAAATATACCAGAGATACCGAACTTTAAAAGGAACATCTTATTTCTGCTCATAGTTTTGGAGATTTTAGTCCACAGTTGGCTGGCCCCATTGCTTTTGGGCTGATGGCAAGGAAGTATATCATGGCCAGGAGCGTGTGGTGTCCAGAAAGTGAAAAAGGCAGGAGAGGAGGGACTAAAGTTCTATGAGGTCCAATGACCAGAAGACCTCCCACTGGGTCCCACTTCTTTAATGTTTCCCAAACTCCCCAATAGTGCAAAAACGGAGACCAAGCCTTTAATAAATGGACCTTTGGAGACATGTCAGATCCAAATTACAGCAATGTCATATGCAAAATCTCATTGTTCACACAATCTTAAGATGTTTTCCCATCTTTCCTTCTAATGTTTGTATTGGCAAGAATTTAAGAGTTCTGTAATCAATTTTGAGTTGATTTGTGTATATGGATCTAATTTGATTCTTATACACAAGAATTCTATACATGTATAGTTTTCTCACTGACATTTATTGAAGAGATTACTTGTTTCCAAGAGTTTTCTTGGCACCATTGTCAAAGATCAAGACCATATGTTTTTGTTTCTGGGCTCTCTATTCTGCTTCACTGGTCCAATATCTCAGATATGTGTCTGTTTTTTATGAAAGTATCATTCTCTTTTGATTATTGTCACTTCATGGAATATTTTGGATTCAGGTACTGTGATATTTCAAGCTTTGTCATTCTTGCTCCAGATTTCTTTGGCTTTACATAGTCTTGTAGTTTTTATGAAAATTAAGACTGCATTTTGTATTTGTGCAAAGAATGTCATTGGGAACACAATGACAAAGATGAAAGCTGAGCGAGAGTCTC